AAATGCAAGCAAAGAGAAACACAAAGAGAGGGGACTATCCCCCCTGATTTAGGACCTAAAAACCACACCTCTACCACCAAAATCCACTGGATTTCAGTGGTAGGAAGGCCAAACCAAGGCTAACTCGGAGGCCTCAAGATATGGCTTAAAACAAAGCCAAACAAAGCATGCAAGGGGGCTACACACCCCAAACAGCAAAATGACCTTAACCAAACTTAAAAAACACTTGAAAACAAGACTTTTTCCAGTTATAAGCAAAGCCTAAATCAATATGCAAAGAGGGCTAAAGCAAGGTGCAAAAAAGTGCAAAAATGGGAGAAATGCTCACCCTTGAAGACCCTCTTCGAAACCAGCAATTTCAGGGGGTGGAAGCTTGCTTTCAGACCTCAAGAAGACCTCCTAAGAAGCTTGGTTCAATGGTGGTGGTGTGTCTCTATGTGTTGTAGTGTAAAAGTGCAAGGAAATCCAATTTCTAAGCACTAAACTCAAGCAATATAGAGAGAAATGGAGTTTTTCCTCTTCAAAAGTTCAGAACCCTGTCTAAGGAAGAAGCCTCTTCCTTATATAGAAGAATGAAAAGCCAAAGCTTCTTCAAGAAGCTTTGCAAGGCCTTCATCCCTCCATACACGTATATGGAGTGGAGCAAACAAAAAACCAGCTGGCTCAAAAGATCTGGAGGAAAACCAGCTGAGACAGGGGGGGTGCCGGCCATCATCAATGACTGGCAGTGGCTCATTGATGGCCGGCAGGGCCTCATAAATGGCCGGCATGAGCAAAGCCATGGCCGGCAGTTCCATGCCATGGCTGGCAGTGCACCAAAAGGGTCACTCTGAAAGGACCAAGTCAGGGTCCAAAAATGAGGCAGAAAGGATACAGGGTCCGGGAAGCTCGAACCGATGACATTCCGCCGCGACAGTCAAGTACTCGACGAGCAGTCGAACTAGTTGTTAGGTGTACTTGCAAGCACAACCAAGTCCCGAGGACGGTCAAAAATGGGGTGCCTACACTTTGTCAATGTAATAATACCCTTTCTTCCTGTTCTATGCATTTGTCTTTGTGTGTTGCAAACATCTTTTTTTATGGTCATAAGAAGCTCAAATTTATGTAACTTATATATGTCAATTCATGTATGACTAACTAACTGTCTTTGCATGCAGGGCTGCGATGGGTCCATTTTGCTAGACAATGCAGATGGAATAGAGAGTGAGAAAAATGCAACTATTAATTTGTCAATTAATGGATTTGCTGTTGTTGATGACATCAAGACTGCATTGGAGAATGTTTGTCCAGGTGTTGTCTCCTGTGCTGACATTTTGAAATAGCATGCATGCTTGGGAGCCATCTTCATGTACGAGCGTTCGAGGCTCATTTTCAAGTTAAATTACCCATTGAAGGTAATGCAATATTTGCTTTAGCACACTTCCGAAAAATAAAGATGCCCCGCAATTAAAGTTAAGCTTTGTAACTTGTTGCTGAGAGCAAGCTATCAATGTTTGAGGACATAGGAAACCTTAGCAGGGATTTGATAATGGAAAGTATGTATATAATATTGTACTGTTGCCTTTCTTCCTCACCTTTGAGAAGCAAGGAAGTGAGTTGAGGTAGGAGAATTCTTATGTTCAAAAAAAAAAAAGGGTAGAGAAATTTACAGTGGGAAGTTTAGGGAAGTCCAGAGAAATTCTTCCCAGAATTTCTCTGGACCAATTTTCTCTGACTTGATGTTGAGGGATCTTGGACATCATGAAAATATTTGATGTGCTTGATACTATAAAATCATAATATCAGGGACCTTAAAAAAAATACCCCAATTTTTTATAATCACTTTCATAATATTTTTTTCATGAATGCTAACCTTACTTAAAAAGTAACCCATAAGAGGGAATACGAGAGACAGAGAGTGACTTGGTAAATAATTGAATCGTTCTTTCAACGGTTTTAATTTATTAATTAATTAAATAAAAATTTTAATTAATTATTAAATATTTATATAATATATAATATTAATTTGTATAATAATTTATATATATTACTAATTTGTAACAAATTTTAAATCTTAAATCTCTTACACACTCATTTTTAATTTCTTTTATTTTATTAGAGGTAAAAAAAATAGGAAAAATTACCAGTAAATCCTATGAGGTAGAAAGTTAAACCATTTAGTCTTACAAGTTTTCTTATGCACCATTTAGTCCCACTATCTACATCAACAACATCATTAACATCATCAAAACATTAGCTACATTAGCAACATTAATTGCACCAATCGACAATATCAAACATTAACAAAACATCATCCAAAAAAAAAAAAATGTGAACATCATCAACATCAACAACATCATGATGTTCTTCAGCGATGTTCAAATCAGATCGAATCAATACGAGCCCTAATCGACTCCCCAACAGACAGATCCATGATTCTTCTTCTACCAAGACTCATGCTTGGCACAACGACCGACCACCCCTGAGGCCTGCTCCGCCCGACGACTCGTCGGAGCTTAATCGGAAACCTAATGACCCCAACGCCCATGGAGAATCGTCTCACGGGGGGCTCTCTGGCTATTAATTTGACCCTTCTGGGATCATTCCCCACGCTAAGGAGAACTCCAGCGGCGACGATTTGAGATTCTAGCGAAGCTCGTTCTTTCAACAACTTGAGCAACGACGGAACTTCGCCTTCTTCGACGATCATCTTCTTCTTCAAATCGTTGTCTCTGGCAAGGGAAGGAGGTTGTTGGCGGCGTCGATACGGTCGCGGTGGTGGTGGTTCATTTGTACGGCGGTGATGTAGGTCCAAACAAAGGCGAGGGTAGGGTCGTTGCTAGCGATGGGAGGGAGAGAGAGATTGGGGCCTCCGCCGTCGAAGTCGAAATCGAAGATGGAGAGGAGCCAGGCGACGTCGACGGAGGAGGAATCGAGGAGGGAGGAGACCTTGCGGTGGTCTGTTCGAAAGATTTTCATTCAATACGTTTAGGGTTTTTTCTGATTAGGGTTTTTTTTATTTATAAAAAATATATATGAATTGTATAGATGACTTTTGATGATGATGTTTTGACAATGGTGATGAAGCTTGATGATGGCGATTATGTGTGTTGTTTTGATGATGATGACGTTTGATGTTGTTTTGATGGTGTTGTTGTGATGTTTGATGTTGTAATGTTGTGTTGTTGATGATGTGATGACGTTTGATGATGATGATGTTGTGATATTTGATGTTGTTTTGATGATGATGTTTGTGATGCTTGATATTGTTTTGATAATGATGTTTGATGATGTTGTGATGTTGTTTTGATGATGATATTTGATGTTGTTTTGATAATGATATTGTGATGTTTGATGTTGTTTTGATGATGATGATGTTGTTTTGACGATGATGATGTTCGATGTTTCATGTTTAATGGTAATTAACATTGGGATAGGACCTAACGGTTCATAAGAAAATTCATAGGACCAAATGGGTTACAAGATACAAATTTGAGATTTATTGGTGCAGCCCCCAAAAAAATATATATTTATTAATTATAACATAAAAGAATGATTTGAAGACGGATTACAAATTTCAAATTACAGATTAAACTAATTCGTGATTAGTCGATGAATCGGTATAGATTAAGCGATTTTAACAAATAGGATGATATTTTGCACAATATTTCTAATAACCTATTGGATGAGTTAGACCATCTTTCGTTCTTCCCATCTTCTTCCATCAAATTTGATGGAAGTATTTAAAAATCATTTTCACTCCTATATTTATCAAATTAAGGTGTAATTTTCTTCGTCAAATTGACTACTCATTAAATTGTTCATAAAAATTTAAATTTGATGAAAATTTAAAAAACATTAAACATTAGAAATGATTTTTTAAATCAAATTTGATAAAATAAAAACTTAGAATAAGAGGGGAATTTTTTTTTTTTTAGATGATGAAAAATTGAAATAGTTCATATCAAATTAAATTTTTTACTCAAATTTATAATCAAATTTAATGAAAAAAAAAATTGTGAAGGGTTGGAGATGGTATATCGTTTAGGTTTTCCTTTTATAATTATTTATAAAGAAAATTTTTTAAAAAAATCATTATTTTTATATTATTTTCTCTTTTTATTGGAGGGATACTAATTTTAAAAATTAAAATATGTATTTTCTTTAATGTGTATTTTTTTTAATGTTTATTTTTAACAAATTAATTTTTATTTTTTAAAAATATTTCAGAAAATAAATTTTGAAATGGAAACTAAACGAGGTGTGATTTCTTTATTATTATTTTACTTTATATTCAAATTATTAGTTTCATTTAAATGAAAACCTAAATTTCCTGTTTTTAAAATGTTATTTTGAGTGGTCTCACATCTTTTTGAAATATCGTTCAATTGAATAAAACAAAATGTAACACAGATTTTTATGATCAATATAGCCTTTCTTCCACCAAATTTCATTTGGGTAACCATAAAAAGTATTGGTTCAAGTTAGCTAGAGATAAAATGTGCTAGATACATATATATATATATATATTAATTGAGATATGGAGGCACTATTGTTGTGCCCCTTGGTTGATTTAAGCCCCTTGCATGATCAAAACTAATGTTGGGATGAGCTGACAATGGATTGTTTCTGTAAAACTTCCATACAAAAAATATCGGTATTATGCAAATTCTAAAAAGCCAATGTTCAAATTAAATTGTTTAAATGCAAAATCTAAATCAAACATGAGCTACAAAAGTTGACAAGCAATTAACTATTTAGCCCCAAGAGGATGAAGAAAATTGGCCGGCTGACCTGACAGGAAACACTGCCATACAAAAGAAACCAGAAAAGCTTCCTACCCCCAGCTGGGGGTGACACCCAGTGAGGTGTCAGCTGGGGGTTGGCCAAAAAAACAGTTTTTTTTTTTTTTTTTTTTTTTTTTGATTTCCGACCAGTGGGGGCGCGCCACGTCACTGGGGCGCCACCCCCACTGGGTGTATGAAGCATAACTGCAAAAGAAACAACTAAAAACGCGGCCCTTAATGACGCCGGGTAAAGTTTGGCAGTCCCGAAAATGTCCTTTTCATAAGAGTACATAATATTACATAAAGTCCACCAAATATCAGATCTTTCATATTAACCGCAATAACAAAACAGCAGCAACAGTAATAGAGGTTAGTATCTTAGTTCCGGGGTTCATAACAACAAAAAATGAAGATGGCTCTATCAAGACCGACAAAGACTACAAGCATTTTGATAGGGGGAAAAAATAAAAATAAAAAAAATAACATAAAAACGGATTTTTAATGGGGATTGATTGGCGGAATTAATAATGACATCACTTCCAGAGCTTAACAATCTTGTCATGGCTAGCCGAGGCAACCAAACCTGTCACTGTCGATACAGCCAAGCCAGCAATCAGGCCATCATGCGCTTGAAGAGTCATCGTCTTGTTTTCACTCATGTTCCAAAGCTCAAGACTCTAAGCAAATTTCAACAGTTGAGCGCATCAGAAACAGAAACCAATGTCAGCATTGGAGAATTTTACTCCATGGAAAATTGTAAAAACAAAAAATGCTGAATTGGCCTATTTCTTGCATGTACCATTTTAAGTTTTTTGAGAAATGAACTAAAGACTGAATGCTTTCCTCAGCAGAAGGCAGACAAAAAGGGTCAAGGATCCTCTTTTCTATAACTTAACTGAAGGTTCTTTAGAATGCTCAAGGGAGCCAAATCAGACTTATACAGAACAACCAAACTAAGTGGTCATTTATGTGTATGGAAATCCACTCAATTCATTAACAAAACAAGCAACTTGTAGACTTTGTATCTTAAATCCTTATATAGATGGCAAACACAAAGTAGACACTGTGACATATAAATTAGAAAAAGTGTTCACGACTTCCTCAATAACTTTGTAAAGAAGGTTTGGCCTTTTCGAGGAAACTAATTTGCGAACACAGTACGGATTTATTTTGCCATATTAAATAGGCGTAATACCACCTAATAAACGAATTAGAATCAAAACAGTAAAGCAGACATATAAGAAAACGCACATGGCTTACCTGGTAACAGCCAATGACCAACAATGAAGAATATGTGGGATGGAAAACACAGGAATGGAATTTGTTGCCATTACAACTCAACTCATGAACACATTCCCCTTCACTCCCCGTTCCAAGAGTCCAAACCCTAACCGAGTCCTCGCTGACAGATGCTAGATATTCTCCAGAAGGATCCCAACAAACAGAATGAATAGGTTTCGTATGCCCCTACAATCACATATCCAACATCCAAAAAAGAAAAAGTCAGCTCAACCACATCAAGGCAGAAAGAACACAAGAAGACAAACACCTGCACCTTGCTTATTTCCTGGGTAATAGGGCAGGCCTGAATTAAAAACCAACCTGTAATGAATGCCGACAAGCTTGAGTCTCCACATCAAGTATGGACACAAGATTCTCAGCAGCTGCAGCAAGATATCTTCCCAGACGGGGTTGAAATCTCATCTGAGCTGTGCCACCCTAATTAAAACAAGAATGGTAAAATCAACTGCAGCCCCGAAGCATGAAACAAAAATAATCAAACAAATAAATAGCAGAAAAAAACTGATGCATAATTTCATAACGGAGGTAAGTTCACTAGGTTCTACCTTCAAAACTCGAGCACAACTACCATTGTTTATACTCCAGTATCGTATCTCACCATCCCCATCACAAGAACAGATTAGGTCATCTTTATTTGGATGGAAGTCCAGAGACATAACAGAAGCCGAATGTCCAGTAAAAGTACGAAGTGAATAGCCAGGCTGCAGTTGAAGTCAAATCAAGTTAAGCAGGTATCAACAAAGAATAGGGCACCATATCAAAAGATAAATTGAATTAAAGGCACCATAAATCAACAGTAAAAATACAATAAAATAAAATAAAATCGATACAGATCTATATAACATTTATCCTATTATATCATAACTATGTTCTATTTATATCTAAACTTCCAGATATGAAATGCATGCGCCCAAGGTATTCTTAAAATCTGAGGTTCAAACTGCACAAACCAAACAATCATGTATTGTTTTCATTCCAAAACTCCAAACTTTGGCCCTGTTTGGCAAGTGGGTTTTAGGTTATTTTTTGGCTAAAATCCACAAAAAGGCAAAATAGGCTAAAATAACTAGTAATAAGACAAAATGTCACATCAAACCCATAATCATTTCACTTTTTTTCTTACAAACATCACATCCAACTACAAAAAAAATTCAATCTTCCCAAACACAAAAATTTTAGCCTACTAAAATAGCCAAAAACTATAATAGCAACTTCCCAAACACCCACTTTAGCAAACCAAAATATTAATACGTTCTCACACAATGAAACCGAAAATATAATAGTTAGAGCTAAAAGAATTAAGAGATAGGTTGAAACAAAGCCCTGCAAGAATTCTATGTAAAATGTCCCATATATGAGCATAATAAGTTGTTCAAAAAAAAAAAAAAAGGGTAAAATAATGTAAAAATATTGATGTATTATTATTGATTGTATTGTTACAAGATTGTTGTGTATATATTTTGTACAAGAATTCCTATTATATAGGAGATGATTCTGGAGTAGGTGAGGAGTGAGTGGTGGAGGTAGGTTTGGTGGAGTGTAGTAGGTGATAGGAGTAGTAGGTGGAGGTAGGTTTGGTGGTAGGTGTAGTAGTAATTTACATTTACATTAACACATAATAAGAAAATGCTACAGACAAACAGTCTAGGAACAATATGATGTGCCAGAAACTCAATTACCAGAGTCTACCCAGAATATATCTTCCAGATATGATGTCAGAACATGGGCATAAAACAAAATCCATCACTGCTAACTAATTTGTCCACTTAGTTTGAATACCATCTATTATCTTAAGCACCAAAAGATATCAGCATTTTTTTTCACATCTGAGCAGCAAAAGGGAATTGCTTATACCAAAGCTTGCATTACAAACGAGAGAGCAAGTCCCAAAAGTTGACAATGTAATTATGAAAAAAGCACAACCAAAAGATGTTCAGAGCTATGTAACACACACACTACTAAGTGCCAATTACCCGTGTCAGTCTCCTGACACTTGAGTAAAGCCATGGGATGCCTAAGCACGTCCAATATATCAAGTTTGCTATACAATTATTCACAAACATTTTTTAATAAATTACATTTGTGACTATATAAATTACCTAAATGCCCAAGATGTAACATAAAAACACCCTTTGACCAAGGAATAAATGACAGACACTAAGAATTAAGGTTATTTAACAAGGGATGTCCTGTGTTCCCTTTACTAGAGAGAGAGAAAGAGAGAGTCAAATGTCCTCTCCACTGAAAATTTCCCTCCTTTTCTTTTGTGAGGCAATGAATTCCTCTAAAACTTCTCATGAGAAGAAGCAATGTGATCAAGTAACTTCAAAGTAAACATGTCTTCAGTTTGTTACATCAAATCAAATCATCATGTTTTCGTGAAAATAGAATGTGCAAATTGCAATTGAACAACACCAACACAGTTACACGCCCACTATAGGTCAATGACAGAAAATCCTGGAAATGAATCCGTTTTGATCTGTATCCAATTCGTTTGTAGGAATTAGAAGAAGAATTATGATCCATCAACAAAAAATGATACGAAATCACAATGGAGTAAGAAAGGAAAGATTATGTGTACTAACATTGTCAGCATCCCAAACCCTCACAGTTTTGTCAAAAGAAGATGTTGCAAGACGTGCTATGCTGGGGCTGAAACGGACATCAGTAATTAACGAAGAATGTTCTTCAAGTGTACTTTTTGCCTTTAAGGAATCCGTATACCACAATACAGCCTGCATCAGAAATCATCAGGCGAAAAAGAACACATTACTTTTCCAAGATTGAATTAATTACTATTAAGCAGCTTTAAGACTCCCAGCAACATAAAATAAGCTTTCAAACATTTATTCTTTCATTGTTCAAAAAAAACATTTCTTTCAGTCATTCATGAAACTAAAGAATCTCATGTGCGCACCTTTTTGTCATGGCCACCACTTGCAAGCAGTTTTCCATCTGATGAGAAGTGGCAACACACAACTTTGTTTGTACTAGCTCGAACTGAATTGATTTCCGTAAATGTGAACCCTGAAATAGAATGCAAAGAGGTACCTCATAATATGCTCTAGGTGGATCAAACAAGATTATAGTCGAATACAAATTTGACACTAATGCCAAGTGAAAAATAAAAAAAAAATATTCAGCTGACTCACCTTTGCTAACATCCATACAACGACCAACTGTATCTCTGGGGTCTGTATCCTCATGAGATAAAAAAGACTCAACATTATCATCAAGAGATGCATCCTCCACGAAACGATCAATATCAGCCTGCACAATATCTTTGTCATCCCACTGCAAAAATGAAATGCCAATGAGAGTTGATGTAATAGACATCTATATATATATATTTAAATAATATTTCGTTAATACAAGAATATAAATAATTTTTTCACCAATTGATTTGACGGAGATGTAAGAGTGCCACCACCATCAGTGCCAAACATCATCAAAGGTTTTGAAGAACTACCACCATGTGGCAACGCAGGCATTGAGATTACATCTCCAGGTGTATGAGTTGATGGTGTTGATGGTGCTGAACTTGGGGAGGGTCCCGCTGTGTTTGCTGTTCCTGAGCTATTGGCCGGACCTGAAGATGACACAGGCTGCTTTCTCTTTCTCCCAGTCTGATTTTTAGAAGCCTTAAAAGGTATCAACAAACATGTTGGGAATCTAGTCAACAATTGCATAGGACAAACCAGTAAAGTTATGAAGTTCACAACCATATCACTGAATATCATTGCGTAACCCCCAAAATTGTAATGTGAACACTATTCATCTCCCTCAACATATTCTTTTTAATACTTATATCAAGTAAAACCATCACATCATCCTGATTTAAACAGCATTTAACGCTTAAGGAGAACAATAAAACAACAGAGGTCAATACAGTTACTCTAGACACGGGTAACCCTCTCTAGTTATATCCATATATAACAAATTAATACTGCTAAACAGAGAGAGAGAGTAAATATCCAGAAGGCAAAGAGGTAAACACATAATATTTATATCTGATCCCATGCAATGCATAAATTGTAGCGGCGCTTTTGAAAGATGATTATTGGTAAACAATTGTCTACTTAACGCCTAGCACATGTTGATATGATACAGCTAGATACATGTCTGCACTAATCCTATGGAAATTGTCAACGGTGAGTGAGACTGAACTAATTAGAAGAAGACAGAAAATTAACTACTACTTCAGATTAGTCTTTTGCTTCATCCCTGAACTATAAGTCAGAGGTTAAGCAAAGCAGAACAGTGATACTAAGAAGTGTATGAATAAAATAATGAATGAGAGAAATAGACCTGGGTGTGAAAAAGGTCCAATAAATTGGGGAAGAAAAAATGAGAAGGGGGAGTAGAAAGAATGCCAAGGTCATGAACCTTAACAACAAATACGAATGAAACAACTATAGCTCCTATATGAACTACTGGGAAGATCAAAAACCAGAAAAAGACAGACCTGATCATTTCCTCGAAAGGAGTTTGACATGCTACCATCAGCAGTGACGCTGCCAGCACCCACAATTTTATCCTGTTGATGGAGATTGTGGTTTGAGCTCTGAGATTGTTGGCCAGAAAGAGCATGCTGCTGAAGCTGCTGCTGTTGTTGATTGCTGTTCTGTTGTTGCTGCTGCTGCTGTTGTTGCTGCTGCATCTGAGCCACTTTTAACTACACCAATGAAACTTTCAGGAACTCAAAACTTTTGGGCCCCAGATTCTTAAATTCATTGTAATAAATAGTAATGCCTGAAAAAGAAGAACCTCCAAAGAAGCAAGTTCTTCAATTGCAAAAAGGTCCTTGACAGGGGGGGGAGAAGAAGTACCTTCATTATCATATCTGGATCTCCACGAGACAAAACAGCACAACCAGCTTGTAGAGGTGATCCAACATTTGGAACTATATCACCAACAGAATTAGCAAGCCCATCCTTCCCATTCATGCTTCGACTACTCAGAAGCATTCTCAACCTTCTGCTATCCACATCATTGGCAGATGGTGATGTCAAATTTTGCTGTGCAAGCATAAGCTGTTGCTGGTGCTGTGGTGTCAGCATCTGGAGTTGATTAAAAGGGTGAGGACCCTGCATAAATGATTTCTGTTGCTGGAGAAGCCCAGAGCGAAGTTGATCCAGACCCTAGCAAAAATGAAGGGTAAAACAGTAGCACAATAAATAATACCCAAATGGGTGAAATGTAATTTCGCTTCAAAATTGCATATTGAAGAACCAGAGAAAGAATGATTTGCAAGGCCACGGCCAATAAGGTAATTTGCATAACAACTACCTATAAAACAAGAAAGAAATAATGGCAATCAATTACTTCATATGCACAAAGTGGTGGCAATAGGGATGGTGATGGCATGTAGAAGACCATATTTGGCGGTTGATGTGACTATGCTTGGGCTAGGCACATAACCCCAATGGATTGCTTAGGAGATATCATGGCACCTTTAAGGGCTTGCCACGGGGAGAGTGAAGGCCCAACATGGGAGATGACATGACACTCATGGGGCCCAGCATGTAGCAGGGGTGACCTATACACCCATGTTCAGTGCAGTGCTCATGGACTCTTGCCCATGTTTCTGCACAGGACATATTGAAAAAACTGTTTTTCATTGTTAAATGTGCAGTTAAGTATTAAACTAAAATATTTAATGTTCAACTACAAATAATCTCACCAAGGCCTCGTTTGGCAAGTGGCTTTTTTAGCAAAAAACCAAAAAGTCACTTAAAAAATCAAAAAACCAACAATTCATACCAAAAAGTCAAAGATTCTCTTCTCTCTACTTTTTGCACATCTTTTCGTAAAAAGCCAAAAAGTCATCCCAAACATACTAGTGAAAGAATGATTTGCAAGGCCACGGCCAATAAGGTAATTTGCATAACAACTACCTATAAAACAAGAAAGAAATAATGGCAATCAATTACTTCATATGCACAAAGTGGTGGCAATAGGGATGGTGATGGCATGTAGAAGACCATATTTGGCGGTTGATGTGACTATGCTTGGGCTAGGCACATAACCCCAATGGATTGCTTAGGAGATATCATGGCACCTTTAAGGGCTTGCCACGGGGAGAGTGAAGGGCCGACATGGGAGATGACATGACACTCATGGGGCCCAGCATGTAGCAGGGGTGACCTATACACCCATGTTCAGTGCAGTGCTCATGGACTCTTGCCCATGTTTCTGCACAGGACATATTGAAAAAATTGTTTTTCATTGTTAAATGTGCAGTTAAGTATTAAATATTTAATGTTCAACTACAAATAATCTCACCAAAAGCATTATCAACAAATAATTACTTCCAACATGCAAAATTCTAGTAAACCTTGTTGATGGTTTCAACCATAGAGGAAGTAAAAATATATTAGAACAGTTTCATTAGTACTGGCAGGAAGATAACGGAGCAGGGAACCGTGATACACTAACTGTGAGAGGCCATCCTTTCAAAGTCAAATTGTTGCCACCTTGGTTTGATCCTAAAACAATAAACTTATCAGTTAAGTTCCAGGAGTTCTTCAAGAATACAAACAATGAATTTAATAGGAAAACAGACTGAGAAAAATCCCAACTTAATTTAATGACTCTAAATTCTAATCAACCATGTTATAAGAACGATACGAGCTTAGCACAATCAAAGGGAAAGTCAATTTTATGTATACCAGGAATTCCAATTAAAGAGCCTTCAGGACCAGCAGCTCTGGGGTTCAATACTGGATTCATCTCGGTCTTTATGTCCTGTTCACACAAATTCATTACTTACTGCAAAAGGAAATATATGAATAGAGTACACGGAATCATTTTATATAGGAAAAGAAAAGTACTCACTGGTGTAGAGCCAGGAAGTTGCGGGTTCCGAGATTGAATTTGCGGAGACATAGCACCCGCTGCACCATGCAGCACTTGCCTGGAAATAATTATACACAGATAACATTAATAGGATGTGCATCAGAATGCAACACCCAAAACTTTTATTGTTGTATAAAAAGACATAAAAGAGATTCCATGAGAACAAAGCAGTTCATTTCATTTCCTGTACAATTTGAAGGCATAAACATATGTCACCACAGAGTAGTTTCATTAAATAGTCAAACTGCCAAATAATAAATGACAGTGGCGTATCATTTCCTGCCTCTTGGGATCCCAGTTAATATTTATAGACAAGTACCAATTCTGTGGAAAATAAATAGGATGAATAAATACTAATGCCATGCAAGATAAAGTTCTTTTCTTTATACTTTTTTAAATGTGCCAAACACCCTACACAGCAACATCATGTCATGTCATGTCATGTCATCTCCAAATAATATTAATCAAGTTGCATAGGAAGTACCCTGAAGCCTGGCCAGCTGCAGCAGCAGACTTCAATATTGAAGCATGGTTCGGATCCAAAAGCTGGCCCATATTCTCACCAAACCTTTGCTGTACCCAAAAGTCAAATTGGTTAAACTGGAATGAATTCATGATTCAACAACCCCAAACAAGACATATACCTTCATAGCAGCATCATCTAAAGGATCCCTCTGTGGCAATTTTAATCTTTCCTCGTACATCTTTGTCGCCAGAGCATTAGCTGTTCCGGGGTTTTGTCTCATAAGAGGATCGTTGCCGACGAGCCCATTAGCGGTACCATTTAGGAGGTGGGCCCCATCTCGTCGTTGCTGCTGTTGTTGTGCCTGTTGTTGCTGTTGCTGTTGTTGCTGCTGCTGCTGCTGCTGTTGTTGTTGTTGTTGTTGCTGCTGCTGCTGCTGCTGTGCCTGCTGTTGCTGCTGCTGCTGCTGCTGTTGCTGTTGTTGTTGCTGTTGTTGCTGTGCCTGTTGAGCATGCCTCTGCAATAAGAGCTGCTGCATCTGCAGTTGCTGCTGCGGATGTTGTTGTTGTTGTTGAGGTTGCTGTTGTTGCTGCTGTTGCTGTTGCTCCCTAGCTTTAATTAACTGAGTCTGCAATTTCCGGGTATGTATTTAGTAAAGTGCTAAATATATAATCAATCATAGGGCAACTTTTTACAAGTAAAAACGTATAATCAATCATTGAACATAGAAATCTTCAGAGTTTGTTTCTCCAAATGCGTGCCAAAGGCCACAGCCAAAAGACAAGAATTATTAAAAATTCACAACAGTTAAAATTCCAGCCTGTCAGAGATGCGATGAACCACCTCTACTGTCATCGAGAGAATTTTCTTCAACGCATGTAAATCCCTAAAATGGTTTAAGCGGTGCAGTCCCGATCCTGTGCCTCATGGCCTACCATTCAAACCAGTAGGGTCTCTCCAAATTCATTCACAGCCCAACAACCAATTGATCAATAAATGCCTAAAATATATTCAATTACAAGCAAGATGAAGCCTACATTTTAACATTTGCGAGCCTCTTACACTGAGCAAACAAAAGGGACATTGAGTCTGAAAGGAAGTGCTTTTTGGATCCTTATGTGAGAAAGTCAGAATGATAGTCAACTTATTGTATATTTCCATTAACATTTCAGATAAAAGATATTTCAGATCAGTAAACATATTATAAATTTCGAATAATGCTTCAAACAATGCAACATTACAGATCAGTCGGCAGAATATTACCTATGGAAAACGTCAAGTAAAGCAGTTCAATTATTTCACAACAAACATTGATAACAGCAGATACAGTGATATTAAAGAAGTATGACAGGATCTCCAGTAGATTATGGTGGTCCCAAGCGAAGTAAGAAACATTGGGATTCAGGGTAAAAATAATAAAACCATTTCCACACCAGTCATTTTTTACGTCAAGAATCATTCAAGCCAACACGCTTGCTATGCGAACAAAAATAGTAGAAAGCAAGCAATTTTTTGGCAGTTTTGATCAAGAAAATGACCATTTTAATGATTGAACCATGTAATTGGAATACCCAATCCCAATGACAAAAGGTCTTAGTAGTCTTTGAGAATGCAATCTTTAATTCTCATCATTAAGAACTTTTTTTTTTTGGGGTGAATAGTCATTAAGGACTATTACATCAATGAACAATTCAATCCAATTCAACACAACCCAGGAAACTATCAAAGAAATATAGGGTATGTTTGGTTTGTGTTTGAGAGATATGTTTTAGAGATAAAAAGTACGAAAAGTTGTTTGGTTTGATTTTTTTCAAAAGATGTTTTGGAAAATTATTTTGAGAGAGAGTTTTGAAAAAAGTGATTGATTTGATGTGTGTGAGAGAGAGATTTGTTTGGAAAACTTGTTTGGTTTACAAGTTTTGAGAAATTTTTTTAGAAAAATTTGTTTGGTTTGATTACTTTTAAAAATTTATTTGTAGAGAAAATTTCTCAAAAATTTTTCACAAACACAAACCAAACGAACCCATAATGTTGACATAAAACATATTTTAAAAAAAAAAATTATAAATTGTCGAACCAACCTCAATGTAAGATGCAGCAATGTCTGAGTGCTTCTCATTCGTCCTAGCAATAAATATGTCCCAAAACACTGACCACCATTCGAAGAGAAAACCACCAGGAGCATCGATAGCTGAAATACCCATGTCCCAATATTCAAAACAATCCACAAACCACATAACAAAATCGAATCGACAACTGAAAAAAGTTTTCTTTTTATTTTTATTTTAAAATGTATCTGTTTTGGGGCGCAAGGGGTTGAGGAGGTTACCATCCATTTTCAACAAATAATTTGTAAATAATCTTACCAACGGGATCTGAGGATACTTTCCCTTCAGCTTGAAAAGCCTGCGCAGAAGCCTTCAGATCCCTCTTTACTAAGTAATCATGGATATACACATCAAGCCTGTCATCCAAAAATAAACACAGTTCGCCAAATATCAAGGAAAAATTGAAACTTGAAAAAAAAAAAAAGAAGAAGAAGAAGAAGAAGAAAGAAAAACAGCTTACACAATCTCAGTAAAGTAAATACAAATCCTAACAATTTTAACAAAAAAAAGTAAATAAAAATCCTAACAATTTAACAAAAATTACCAAAAGATCAAAGAAAGTAAGATTAATTGGACACTAGAATCAAAAAACATTACCCAGACTGCAACATCCAAACTAGACACCAAAAATGCAAAAATTTATCGAACCCAGTAATGAATACTAGTGGGAACAAATTCAAGACCTACAAAACTGCTTTGAGAGAGAGAGAGAGAGAAGTAGGGCAGATAACCCAGAAACACCCATAATCCAAACCCTATAAAAAAAAAAATTGTTGAGCAGCTCAGCCACAATAACTGTTATTGCACAACTTCAGAACATGAGAACTGTTCAAAACGGAAACCCTAGAACACCCACAGTGAAAACAAAACAACGGCAGCCCATCTTTACAAAAAGAAAAATGATTCAAAAAATTAAGAACACAAAACCCAGAAAATCAAATATAAAAACCCAAATCTAACAGGAAACGACAAGAACAGACCATTAATTGAGCACAAATCAGAAACCTACGAACAGGACTGAAACAATAGAAAAAATATAAAAGATTGATGTGAATAGAAAAGCTTACATTTTATCAGCTTCCCAGTTGGTCTGTGACATGTCGTTCAATCTAACACCCAAACAAAAGACAAATAATACAATAATGTCAGATTCTAATCCAATGGTTTCTTCTTCTTATTCTTCTTCTTCTTCTTCTTCTTCTTCTGCTCTCTTAACCTCTGAAGATGAACAAGATTAACAAATACCCAAAACCCAAAAAATTAAAAATTAAAAATTAAAAATTAAAAAAAAACAAAAACAAAAACAAAAAAGAACAGATTTTTGTTACTATAACTGAAGATCCTCTAAACAACTACAGGCACACAGATACAGCATGGAGAGAGAGACAGAGAGAGGGAGAGAGAGAGAGAGAGAGAGAGAGAGAAATCTATCAAGGGAATAGAAGCAAAAGCAACTGGCAATTGGTAATACAGAATATTATATATATAGTTAAAATTCAATAAACAAATGAATGGAAGTTGATAGAGATGGAGATACCTAAAAACCCAGAAAAAAAACTTCTTTTGATTGTGAGCTTTTTTTTATAAATGTAAAAAAAATTCTTGAAAAAATAAAATTGTTTTTGATAGCTGTGGTGGGATTGGGGTTGCTGTTGCAGATATCATTGTGGGTTTGGGAATCGATTTACCATTGAAGCCCCTTAGTCTTGGTCGAATTTTCAGTCTAAGGCAAAGTTCTGGCACAACTTTTCTTGAAATTACTAAAAGGTCCTTTATGATGAAAAATTATTGGGTATGTTTGGTTTGTGTTTGAGAGATGTGTTTTAGAGATAAAAAGTACGAAAACATGTTTGGTTTGGTTTTTTTTAAAAGATGTTTTGGAAAATTATTTTGAGATAGAGTTTTGGAAAAAGTGATTGATTTGATATGTGTGAGAGAGAGATTTGTTTGGAAAACTTGTTTGGTTTACAAGTTTTGAGAAATTTTTTTGAGAAAATTTGTTTGGTTTGATTATTTTTGAAAACTTGTTTGTAGAGAAAATTTCCCAAAATTTTTTCAGAAAATCAAACCAAACGAGCCCATTGATTGATTTAGAGACGTCACGTAGTCATATCCCTTATTAATCATAATTTATTATAAGCTATTTTGGCAGTATTGACTTTTAATTTATTTTAAATTACAATATCTTTTTACTTTTTATATGTTTTTTTAAAAAAATCAATTTTTAACCAATTTTTCAAAATAACTCTATGGGCTTGTTTGGTTTGTTTTTTGAAGAGTTGTTTAGAATTTTTTTTAGTTTGTTTGATTGTATATTTTGAGAGATAAATTTTTTGTGAAAGTTTGGGATGATTTGATATTTTGGAAGAATTTAGTAGATGTGTGTAAAAGAAAAAGTGATTGAGAAGGAGAGAAGAGAGAGAAAAAGTGATTGATTGATGTGTAAGAGAAAGAAAGTGATTTTGAAAATTTTTTGAGAAAAATCTCAAACCAAACAATTTTTGAGAAATTTTTTTCTAAAACTCATCTCTCAAATTCAAACTAAACAAACCCTATATTTTTTTATATTTCTCAATCACTTAACACAAATTCGTAAACTCTACTCCCTCCATCAATTATAATACCGTTGACACCACTTGGCGAAAAAGAAAAAGTGATTGAGAAGGAGAGAAGAGAGAGAAAAAGTGATTGATTGATGTGTAAGAGAAAGAAAGTGATTTTGAAAATTTTTTGAGAAAAATCTCAAACCAAACAATTTTTGAGAAATTTTTTTCTAAAACTCATCTCTCAAATTCAAACCAAACAAACCCTATATTTTTTCAATCACTTAACACAAATTCGTCAACTCTACTCCCTCCATCAATTATAATACCATTGACACCACTTGGCGATTTAGGGATACTAAAAATATCGCGGAAATGTTTGGGTGTTTTTGTCTTTTCATTTATCTTTGCAACTTATGTGAGTTTTTTCAAAGTGGTCCTTTTATTTTAGTTTATTTATAACTGTCTTTTCTAAAAAGTATCCTTCAGTGCGAAAGGAAAAAAAAAAAAAAAAAAAAAAAATTACAACTTCTTCTATTGATTTCACAACAATCAATTTTTCCACAATAATCAATTTTTTTTTTATAACATTTCTCTATTTATAAGTGAAAACAAATGCGTAATGTGCCCCTGTAACATTATTTAGTATTGAGATTAAAATCAGAAATATCTTGAAAATATATGATAATTTAAAATATAGATCAAAATATATTTTGTTTTGAATTTAATATAAGTGTCTCGTATTATTCTCATGATTTTTTATTTTTATTTTAAGTCTAAACTACCAGTATCCGGAAGTCCACAGGACCCCGACTAATCCGATTCGAGTCGGGTAGGACCACAACGGCGGCAAAGCTCTTCCAACAAGTTTTTAACACTGCGTTCCCAAGTCTCAAATTCGAGATCTTGGTTAAGCTAGCATAGTTCCTTACCAGTTAAGCTACATGCTTGTTGGTTTATAAGTGTTTGTTAGTAAGACTCATAAATTAATCTAATTTTTTTTAAAAAAATAATATTATATACAAAAAATTTAAAATTAAAATATGTATACTTTTTTACACTGTAAAACATTATTATTTCTAAAGGAAAAGTTTGAAGTCGATATTTGGCATACTAAAAAATGTATAAAATAAAAACTTTAATTTTTAAAAATAATTTAAGGAAAATGCATGAGACCCCAGTGGAGTACTGGGATCTCTCCTGATTGGTCCAAAAATATTTTATTTTATTTTTTATTATTTATATTTTTTTTTTTTGGTTTTCATCCATTGCCAGCCCCCCACGTGGAGGTGGGGTGCTGGAGGTCCTTCCCAGCAGGGCCGATAATTTAGTTTTCTTAAAAAACACCTATTAAATGCATTTTTAAATTGTTATACTCTCTAAATTTCTAAATATCCTTTTTCAGTTTGTCCGTCCTTTTCTAGTTGGCTTTTTTTTTTTTTTTTTTTTTTTTTTTGGAGGGGGGGGGTTAGCTTATCTAACTGGATGAATCTTTTGACCTCGTTTGTCAAAAATTGTAGCAGAGTGCAAAGTTTATTTCAAAAATAGGATACATATTATAGATTTAAAGTTAGTAAAATACATATCATACTTGTGATAAATATAATCTATTATTTAATTATAAATAATTTTTTAGATAATAAGGAAAATAAGGGTTTGAATAGGACTTTTCACTAGAGCATTTTCATAATTATTTCACAAACTCTTCATCGGTTTCAATGTGACCAAAAAATTAATTCTCACGTTTAGCATACTAAAATATAATATAAAATACATTATAAATTAAATTATCATTTACCATTTATCATTGTAAGTGAATGGTTAATTTGTAAGAAAATTAAGAAATAAATTTTTTGTTCAGTTTTACTTTCATTTGAGTGAATTGGACATAGCATAAGAATATCCTTAAAGGAAAAATGGGGATTTAATATTTAACTATTTGTCCACCTTTTGTGATTCAAATTCATGACTTCTCACATTTACAAGCAATTACTTGCTTAAATATTTAACTAGTGATCCACCTTTGAGATTCGACTTTTCATATTGGTTCACTTATTAATATTCAAATTCATGACTTTTTATATGAAATTAGAATTATTCACTTAGATATACAAATAAATTTTAACATGCTTTAAAATGTAGTATGATATCTGTAGATTTGTACATATAACACTATTACAATTTTTAAAGTACTTCTAGAATAATTTTTTAAAAAAAAAATAAAAAAATTAATAAAACATAATCTTTTTTTTCAAATTAATCATATAAAAATACATTTGTAGGATGTTACATTTTGTCTTGCCAAACCTTTACACCTCTTAAATTTTAGTTTATTGTATTTTATTTTATTTTTCATCATTGAAAATCATTTAGAAAATAAATAGGAAAATTTTTGAATCATTTTGAAATGCTAAACTCGTTATTTTGGGAAGAAAGTGTACATATAGGAATGGCAATGGGGGGCAATGGGGTGGATATTAATTCCCCAATCCAATCCATAATCATTACAATCCTCTCTCACAAAAAAAGCCAAAAAAGCCAAAAAGCCAAAAAGTCCTTCCCAAACCAGGCTAAAATAGCCCAGGCTAAAATAGCCAAAAAGATAAAAAGCCAAAAAGGCAACCCACTTCCCAAACGGAGGCTGAATCATTTTGAAATGCTAAACTCGTTATTTTGGGAAGAAAGTGTACATATATCATAAAAGTATATTAAACTTCTTAGAAAAATATAAATTACTAGGATTTTAGCATAAGAATACCCCTAAAAATGCCCAAATTGCTATCAAGTTTTTTAGATTTGGTACAATTCCATCATCATTGAAGGAATGTTTGGGTTCAATCTTGCAAAAGAGGCATGAGGTTGGAATATATATAGAAACCCATTTCTAATATAAGACATCTATGTGCTTCATAGTTATGCCATTAACATAGGGACCATAACTGATAAAAATGGAAGACGCTATACTTTTTTTACTCTTCTAGACTTCTACTTTCGGTGGATGTGAAGTTTACAAAGTAACATTCAAATATATGTTTCGTAGATTGGACTAATTGTCAAGAACAAAGTAATGTTTGTCACTTGCTTCAATTTTACTGATCAATTTCATTTGAAGATGTCCGATGAACTTTGTATAAGACAAGTCCTGCTGCTCATCACCTAGTTTGCAAATTTAAAATTCTTGTTTTTTTAGAATTTTTACAGGAAGCCTATAACCAAAAATATATATGGTTAGAATTATTTATTATGCTGTTACTTTTGTATCCGTAGACTTATTGGGGTTATTTACTTTCTCATATAACTACTTATTTGGTACAACTTATAAGTCGATTTATTTTTGTATTTAGTAAATTTTGGTATTTTATTTTGAGTCAACAGTTTTTACTTGTTAGATTTGATTAGACTAGACTAGATTAGACGATTCTAAAATTTAAAATTTAAAATATATATATACATATATACCAAAAGACAAAAACAAGTCAAAATGTGTCAAAAAAATATAATTTGACTTATTTTTATATTGAAAAATGTTTAGTTCACCAAAGTAGATGAACCGACTCCACCCAAATGATACGGCCAGATGATCGAAGTCACCATTATCAATAGCGGTCAACCGAAGTTGTCACTGACTCTTGTCATCTGATGTGTCAACTTGCATCCTCCCGAATGACCGGCCGAACGACCGACATATATAAATTTAAACAATTTAAATGAGTCAAAATTCGATAAATGTAACATTACTATTTTATCTTTAGTGAATCCTTTGAAAAAAAATTACTAACTCCTTTTAAACTTTAGGACCATTTAGTCTAGATAGACCGTAAAGTAAAAACATTTTACTAAAATTTAAAAATTAAAAAAATCACCAAAAATAGGAATAAAC